AAAATTTGGAAACAATCTAATATTAATACTTCAATCTTTTATATTAATGCCAAATATAAAGTTACTTTTAAAAAAAAATTTCTATACAACTTCTTAATAATCTTGCAATCAAAGCTAAGAAGTTTATATGTGCAAACAATCAAACTAAAATAAATCCTAATAATAAAGTTATTACTTTTATTAATATTTAAAAAATTATCAAAACATTATTACACAAAATCATAATATTGATAAACTTAATTAACAATAAGCTATTAATTTTCTTACAACTAAAATTATTAAAACAAACTAGTTAACTTATATTATAACTTTAATACTAATATTCAATTAAATTTTAATAAAGTTAAAGGCATGACCTTACCATTAATATTTAAAAAAAAAACTTAAATACTAATAATACTTCTATAAATTTTTAAGAAATTGTTAAACACTTTTAAGAAAAGACATATTTAAAGGCTGAAAAATTCTACAAAATAAATTTAAGTCACATTTTTAAAAACAAACTTAAAAGATTCACTTTTCTTTACAAATGCTTTTTTTTAATAAATTCTTCTGTAGAACACATTAATACAATTATACTTTTAAGATTATAATGTTTTTTACTTCTTATATTTTACTAGATCATTACACTTTTGTATGTAATTTTTAATTTATTTATTTTGTATAAATAGTAATAACTATATAGTTAGCAGTTTAATATTAGTTCTAACTGTAAATATTAGCTTTGACTATAGCATATATACATAAATTTATTTTAAATTACTAATAAAACTATAGGCAAGGTATCACCTTAATATCAAAAAAAATATAAAAAACATATTGCATTCATTTTTCTAATTAGAAAAAATAACAAAAAAGACTTCAATTTTAATTTATAAACTAATTTATAAAATTATTTAACTAACTATTAGACATACATAATTTCAAATAAATTATATTTATTTATATCTCTATAAACTTTCAAATCAATTATATACTTGCTTCAACATATAATCTTATATTGATCAAGTAATTTACAAAATTTACATCTGATCTATTTTATAGATCAAAACAATATATCATCAAATTATATACTAAACATTCAAATCTAAATAAATCTTAACCACTCTAATAGGTTTAGACTGCAGATAAATTAGTTTGAGTTTACAAATAGTAGTAACTGTATAGTTAGCAGTTTGATGGTTAATTCTAACTGCAAGTGTTGACTTCAACCATAATGTATATATATGTAACTATTTTAAATTACTAATACGGATATAAGCAAGACCTTACCTTAATACTAAAAAAAACCAAACTCAAACTTGACTAAAATTCAGTTTGAGTATAATCTATAGAAAAACTAGTAATAATATTAATAATTATATTACAGTAAAATTATTATCTAAATAGCTTTATTTAATATGTAAACTACTATTTTATTAGTAAAATTTTAGATAATTTTAAAAGCAATTTATTAATACTAATCCAGATTTTAGTTAGTCTGCTAAATTTTGGTTGCTTTACCAATATATCATTTAAAAGCACTCGGAAATGCATACTAGGTTTGCTCCTGAACTAGAAATCAGATTTCAAGGTTAGGTGTAATATAACATGATAAGGAATATTCAAAACATACGTTCGCTCTGTCAAAAATTACAAATAAAAATCGGCATAAAATCAATTTTTATTACTAACAAAAAGTTTTCGTCGAACAATTTTACTACAACAACTACGCCTCTCTAACTCCTGACCTTTAACCTTAACAAATTTTAAGAGTGCAATTTAAAGTCGAATGCAAAAATAAATCATACCTCATTTATGACACAGCATATTCCGATGCTTTAAGATTCTACCGTATCTCTAGTTTGACTGATCCTTCACCCGGTGTGCAACATATAAAAAAATTATTTTACAACACCAGATCATTCCGCTAGTACATGTTAGATGACTAGCGGTATTGTATAAGAGTGAAATAGTGATGGCGCAAAAATTTGGCGGTCCCGTGATTTTTATCAAATCAGATTGTAAGATCAGCGTGTAACATACAAATGCGAAGTAAAAAATTAAAGGCGAAAAAAAAAAAGAAATCACAAAAAACTCATAAATTTGCAAAGGAAATCAGCCTTTTGTTATTAAATAAAAGATTTCAACACAAAAATTTAGGTATATTTTGTGTTAATGCAGCCATTAATTTTTAGATGAAAATTAGGGATCACTGTTGTTTAATTAGTCACGGGACCGCCCAATTTTTGCGCCATCACTATATGTTGCACACCGGGTGAAGGATCAGTCGTGTAACATTAACGCTTCGATTGATTACAAAAAAAATATTTTACAATACCAGATCATCCGGCGGAATGATCTGGTATTGTATAGGTGTCGTAAAAGTCGTGTAACCCGAACTCACACATGTGATAATTGACCAATTGATCAAGTATAATGTAATAAAAATTTACATAAAACTTTTTAATTATTCGATGGGTGAAGGAAATACATTTAAATCTACATCTTCGATATTTCAAGATGCACTCAAGTCTGAAACGATTACAGAAATAATGAACAATCCTTCAAAATTACTAAAAAAGAGACTTTTCTGGGACAAACTTACTGAACCTAGGTATAATTAATTGGATAAATAAATAAATAATAACTATAGATTCAATAAACATTATAATGCAAAAATTTATATATTTTAAATATAAATTTCATGTATTGGTTTTAATAATAGTAATAGTGTTAACGGTTTATTAAATTGTTCAAACAAGCATAATTATTAATTCATGTTTATAAGCTAAGTTCAAGAACGAGTTTTATGTATATGCTTTGAAACAGTGTTTTTAAGCACAAACTAACCGGTTGCGACAGGATAGCATCGCCAATCTGGGAAATGAGAAAACAATATACGTAGCGGTAGAACATAGATGAGAAAAAATAATTTGTTTATAGCGGCTAGACTGCAGCATCTAGCATTTTGCATTGTATTGCGGCAACGCCACATTATGACATTCAATTTGCTGTTATAGGTGAGCTAAAAAAGTACTTTTCAAAAGGTATTTCTAAATCAGTTATCTAACGGTTACTTTTGAAATGAATGGAACAGTTTCGGTATTGCTGCATTTATTTGTTTATCGGCGATTAATGTGGCGATACGGAATTGCGGAGCCTACATATTGAATTAGTTTTGGCGTCGACTATTCCTTAAACTGTCTAGCGTATAAATTAAATTCAATATATTGAATTGTAGAACTGAAATTAAGTTAACGGTTTAACGTTAAGGGATAATTAGGATTATGAGGTTTTTATTTATTTATTTATTTATTTATCTGTTGTTTTTTTTTTATTTAATTTATTTATTTATTTATTTATTTATTTTTTTGATGGATAATAACGATAATGCATTATATCATCGAAAAAAAAATTGACATTAGAATGCAGTAAAACTGTTGTATTGTAACTAGTTTTTACTGCAACTTTAGTCAATATTCAAAGTTCACATCCAAATTATTTCAAAAAAATCTTGTTATTATTCATTAAAGCGAAAGACTTATAGACATCTAATTTGAACATAGAGACTTATTTGGAGAACATATAAATTCAGCTACACAACTTTTTTTTTTCAGGAAAATTTGTACTTAAAGTTCATTATATGTTGACATTACATGCATCACTCGTACAGACTAGACTGGTTTACTATGAAAATAGAGAATCGATGCACTTGCATGTCTCAAAACTGAAAAATAAAATTTTGCCAAAATGTGGAGCGATTGAATTTCGAAGGTATTATGTATAGATAGAAGTTCTTCTAATTATTTAAACATTTTAGGTGGTGTTAATATTGAGGTTTTATCAATTTTTATGAATTTATTATTATTATTTTTGCATTATGTACCTTAGTGTATACGTAGAAAATAAACGGTTTAAATTATGTTTATTAGAACACTTTTTTTTTTGAAAAAAAATAAAAAATAAAAAATTATCTCTAGTAAAATTTTAGATTTAATGCATATAGTAACCTGTTAACCAGTAATAAATCAAAAGCTGACCTATAGAATATTTTAGTTACATGAAATAGGACAATAGAGCAGTTTTTGCTACGCATTAAAAATGAGATAATTTATTATTTTAAGATAAAAATTTTAACGAAACAATAGAACAATAGGATAGAATGAAAATATAAGTTACAATAGAACAATAGAACGCCAATACTGGAGGATCTAACGTTAATTGGTCATGTAAATCACGTGAGTATGGAATTGTTAATAGAAAGATCGCATACGTAGTGGTGTCACCATTTCACTATATACAAGCGTTAGTGGTATGTTTTGAATGCATATATATATTTTTTGATTTTAGGTTACATTTGATCTTAGGACAGTTCATCGATGGTGAATCGTGGTATGTTGTGTTTTGGGTCACAATCACACTTTTATGAGCAATACTTGGAATCTAGATGAAGCACAGATTACTTTAAAACTTGGGCAAAACCAAGATTCCTTTAGTATTTGGCATTAACTGAAGAATGATTTATTAATTAGAAAAATGTTTAAAAAAGATTTTCTTTATTGGGATAGGATAACTATTCCTACTCGACGAATGATCTTGGAATACTTCCTTAATGACATTGTCCTACAATAACACCATCTGTCGCCATCCGAATGTTAACCCGTAGAATGATAACGACGCATGACTAAACCTAGCAATTCATATGGACTAGGTGCTGAGAAAAGGGACCAAATTGACTATTTTTTCAAAATGAATTTTTTAAGCTTAATTAATTTAAAATTAGCTCAGAAACATTTTTCACTCACTTAAGAAAGAAATGCTGATGCATTAATGAAATTTTATAGTATAATCTTTTGAAATCTTATTTTCTTTGAGTTAATACAATTTCAGAAAAATTTATTTTTTGTCATTCCTTTTCTCAGCGCCTAGCCATATCAGGAAACCTAGAAATTTCCTTTAATATTTCCTAAAAAGTTTTTGCAATTCACGATTCGATCGTAACGACGGTATCGTGAACTTTAAAACGCAATTTCTTGTATATCTTGAATTTTGCTTATAATTTTTGGTATAAGCAATTGATTCATTATAATTTTAAAAGCGGTAACGACTTGTTTTTCCTTTGCAGCTTTAACGATCACGATCCGATTAAATTTCGTTTACTTCAAAAATTTTAACTCAACAGGTTTTGATTAATATAATGATAAACAAAATCCACTCTTGAATTTACTAAAGCATTTTAGTACTGTAAATTGGTTTTAATTAAATGATATTTGATGTTTTTTAGTTTAATGTTATTGATTAAAATGAAAAAAATTCTATATACAAGCAAATTTTAAAATTTAATATAAATTTAAATAAGGGAATAATAATAATAATAATAAACGGGAGATATTGGAACTCTAATTTATAAAGACTCGGGCGAAATTTCTTACTAAAAATCTATCTTATTTCAGAACATCATAAATCTTATTAAAATCTTATTGATAATTAATAAAAAGCCAGGCGAATTCCTTACTAAATATCATGTTCCAGAACATAAATATTTTTAAAATCTTATTAAAATTTAATAATGGGAACCCTCATAATTAATACCCGGGCGATTTTCTTACTAAATATCATATCTTATTCCAAAACGGAAATTTCATAATTAAAAATGTTTTAAAAAAATTTTTGTTTTTTTATGTTTTGGATTTATGGGTAATTTTTATCTCTTATTGAGATTCAAATAGGCATGGAAAACTGAGATAAAGGTCGATTATTTGATCTACAGTTAAAAAGTTGTAACATAGATTTACATCGAATGTAGGTTCTCCATTAAAAGCCAAATGCTCTCCATTGAAAGCCAAAGGTTCTCCATTGAAAGACAAAGGTTCTCCATTGAAAATCGAAACTTCTCCGTTGAAAAATGAATGTTCGTTGAAAAACGGAGGTCCTTCAGTGGGAAATGAAATCACTTCATTGGGAGGAGTGCCTGGCATTGAACCATTGTAGGATGGAGTTAATATAGGGGATTCTATCGGGGATTCGATAGGGGATGGTGGAATAGATGGTTGGACATTTGTCATGTTCTCATAGATAAAACTGTAAGTCATGCATTTTTGTCTCTTTTTCTGTAACACTTTGTCGATTCTTTTTGAAGCGTCCGTATAGGCTTTTTTCACTTTCAGATCCTCGTTTTTCCATGCTTGGCCAGCTAATTTGGAGATTTCAGTCATCTTCATTTTTACTCCACTTGCTATGGCCCGTTTGGTATATACTTTTCGATAAACAAAGAAGGCATTCAAGCATTTTCTGCCATTAGAGATATTTTTGGCAAACTCATTGATGTTAAGTTGTTCGATTTCTTGAAGATTGGGCATTCTTATTTGTGACATCTTGTAAAGTTGAAAATATCCAAGGACAAATTTCAAATTTTGTTGAAAAAAATGGTCCCTTTTATCAAAAAATTTACGGAGTGATTTCCCGGATCTACAATTTACTTTTTAGTCTAATAAACAGAAAATAATATATTGTTACAATAAATTTAAATTTCTTTTTTTTTTTTTTTTATGTTATTATAAAATTGGGATTTTTTTTCATATTTTTCGTAAGCAACTATGCAATTTATTAATTAAACCCGATGATTACTAATAATGTTTGCAACTACTAACCGCAAAATCTGCCTATTTTTTTTTTTATCATGCAACAAATAATGCAATTGAATTACAAGAAAACTTAACTGACCCCTTTTTTTTTAGCCTTGTTTCCTCTATATATTACCATTCATTATATTTATTCGTCATATTCTCATTCATATTTTTCCGGCATATTAATTCATTTATATTTATTCATCACCCATCATATTCTTCGCGTACGTGTTCTAAAACAATAATTATTATTTAAGGCCTCTGATATACGATCAATAGAATTTAAACAACGCACATGATATGTATGCGATGTTCACCTAAAAAAGTGAACAAATTTAACTTATAAATAGATTATAATAGAAAGTATTCCAAGTAAGTCAATGTCTAATAATGGAGTAATGTATGACGCGTTTTATTAATAATGTGTGTACCAAAACCAATCAAAAAATTGTAATTAGCCCTCAGGTTTACTAATTAAATGAAGCAATATATTTATTCGATACGACTTTATTCTTGTAATATCTGGTAATATGGATTATACTTCAAAATATCATCAAAAATATCATCAGACCATAATCAAAGTATATTCAAGGTATCACATTCTGGAAAATTACATATAAAATATTCAAGGTATATTCTATGAAAAAACCACAATTTAGAACGCCAATCATTTATTCTTGTATTTTTCCGGGGCACAATAATTGTATGCTGTAATTATAAACTATGCAAATTCCGAACGCCAAAGCTCTATAGGATTTTCCAAAAACACTTACAAAAGATTTCGAACAATTTGCCTTTCTCTTTAATCATATGAATTAAAACTTTTAATTTTCTTCGTATAGAACAATTGAAAGAAAAATCCGCAGAATGGTTTCTTACATAAAACCTTTATTGTCCATTAATCTTTATTAATGCATGGGATGACGGAAAAATATATGTATGGACAATGTTTCTATTTTACATATAAATAGAACAATTGTAGAACAATTAAATACCAAATGCATTGATAGATTTCTTCAAAAATTAATTTAGGTTCACTTCTTTCATATAAACTTGTTCTAGAATACAAATTATGATATCACATATTTGATATTACGAGTTACTGTTTTAGTCGGAAACTATACTCCGATTTATTAATTTTAATTTGTTCTCGGTTTGAATTTTTATTGGTCATTAATAAAACGCCTTATTCCAGTTTAATAAGCATAACTCGACATAACGATAAGTATACCAAAATTTAACGAGATAAAGATATAAATCCATCTCGTGTAACCGATGATCAAATGTTTATGTGCTATCCGAATTCCGTTATTGAATGCATTATTCTATCGATATCTATCGATATCGATATGAAACAGATGCTGCCATAAGAAACCCTATGTAAATATTTAATGCAAATGCATAATCAAGGCCGAAACTCTAATTAGGAAATATAGTACATTATGATACATTGTTATGACATCAGAATATCGATGGAAAAAGCAATCTGGATTTCCATCTATGCACATAACATATCTGAATCCTGACAGAATTTCTTATACATAGCATTTCCAAACAACATTCTTCCTGAATTACATTAAACTTTGTATATTTTTGTATGCCACGAGTTTTATGTGCTTAACGTTAAACGTAAAAGAACTACAGTGAAACCTCCATAAATGCACCCTCTATAAGTGCACACCCTCTTTAAATGCACGCTTAAATTCGGCACAAATCTATACATGACCTTCGTAAATGCACTTTTTTTTACTATTCTCTAAGTGCACGTCAGTAAAGTTTTGTCCCGAGAGCGTGCACTTATGAAGGTTTTACTGTACTTCCCAAATTATCGATATTTCCGTTAATTTTTTAATGTAAAGCATTTATTAATTATGCTTTAATGCGTTGCAACACAATCTAGAACAATTCTAAAAGAATCTTTCGTTTAAAAACAGCGATTACAAAGTGCGCCTTATCGTTATTGTTATAATTGTTAAATTATTTCGGCCATGTGATGATCGCAACAATTTTACCAGGAATGATTTTCATACATCAGTTTTGTGCAACATAAAATCTTTTTTGGCCAATAAACTCAAATGTACATGAAACAGACTTACAATTAACGCGGTCAAGAAATTTCTGTTATCCCAAGAATTCACATAAGAATCCGTCTTTTACGTTCTAATAAAAGCTTTTCCTTGACTAATTTTACTCTATGTTCTATATTTCCGAGCATCAAGTATAACACTAACCCTAATCTTACCGAATTTTAAATCCGAAAAATTCGTATCATTTTTAAATGCTTGTATGCACAACAATAACCGGAATTAGAACTCGAGTTAAGGTTAGGTTAGGAGTTACAGTATATGCATGACAATGACCGGATTTATCATGTGAGTTTGTTCCGATTTTCAGTATTCATATTATCTGGCACAATATATATAGTTTATAAATAGTAAATATTATTTACCAAACTTTACTGACGTGCACTTATAGAATAGTAAATAAAAGTGCATTTATGGAGGTCATGTATAGATTTGTGCCGAATTTAAGCGTGCATTTAGAGAGGATGTGCACTTATAGAGGGTGCATTTATGAAGGTTTCACTGTATTCATAAAGTATATATACCGTAGACTTCCGAAATTAAGCACCCTTTTTTAATTATAGAGATGCTTAATTTCGGATGATTTTAAAATCTCAAAATTTAATTGGACAGGATAGGTCATGTGCAGATCCATGCAGATTCGTGTAACTACACTATACAAAAAAATATCGATTTTGATATCATAATACTAATTTAAAATTAATGCATCAAAAATAGTATTTTTACGATTTTAATTGAACGAAAGTAAAATAAATGTAACATTGCATCGTGTAATTATTTAAAGGGTTAAATTGCAAAATTAACACAATCTTAATCTTGTGTTTATACAATATTGACAAAACAATGAAACAGGTTAAGCCAAGCCGTGTCTCATACACTATTAAGCAAAAAAAGTGTGTTATTGAGTATGCTAAAGAGAACAGAAGAAATAAAGTAATAGTTTATTATAACCTTGATGCTAGTATAATTGGTCATTAGATTAAAGCAAGTGCAAGTTGGGGTACTGAAATAAGTCAAAATAGCAAGTGTATTGGTTCTGGTCAGAAGGCACTCTATCCTGAAGCTGAAAAAAAATTGTATACTTGGTTAATTGAACAGAAAAAACAAGGACTAGCAGTTACTTATACAATGTTATAAGTTAAAATATTAGAATTTTTAAAAGAACCTAAAATGACAAAACTATATGATTTATTAAAGGATTTTAAAATATCAGACTATTAGGTATCTGCATTTGTAAAAAGATATCAATTATCTTGGAGCAGCACACAAAAATTTCACAAAAACTTTCTAAGTAAACTCAAGAATTATTAAATAAGTTTTATAATCTTGTAACTGATTTTAAAAATAAAAAATTCTATAAGTCATACAATATTCTTAATATGAATAAAACTCCTGTCTGGTTCAATATGATAAAAAACTTTACAGTTGATCAAAAAGGAACAAAGACAGTTCATATTCATAGTACTGGCAATGAAAATAATCAGTTTATTGTTATATTAACATGTATTGCAGGTAAGTAAATTTTAATATATCTAAATAGAGTTTATGTAAAACTAATTAAAACTTGTTTAGCTTAATTAACTCTACATTAGAACTAATGCTAATGCTAATTAAAATTAAAAAAAATTTTTTATCTTGAATTTTTTTTTTTTTACTTTGATTTTTTTTTTATCTTGATTTTTTTTTTTTTTGAATTTTTTTTTTTTTTACCTTTAATTTTATTATTATAGATGAATTCAAGTTTTCACCAATTTGTATATTTAAAGAAAAATAATTATCAAGTAGGAAAAAGAAACAAATTTCTTCTGGTATAATTGTTTGGTTTTAAGATAATAGATGAATAGATACTGATTTAATAAACAGATATGTTGACTATTTTAAGGATATCAAGGCTAATAATTCTAAAGCTTCAACTATGATGGTTTATAATTTCTTTAAAAGGCATTTAGAAACCTCAATTAAAAAAAAGTTTCAAAGTAATGGAGTCGACTTGGTAGTAATTTTAGCTGGCTTAACAAGCATATGCTAATCATTAAACATTGTTATTAACAAACTATTTAAAGATAACCTTCGTAAGGAATGTCATCTCTGGATGTCTTGTAGCAGTGTCAGTACAACTCCTAAAGGAAATCTTTACTATGCAAGTTTTAGCAATATGTGTTTTTGGATTAAACATTCTTGAGAAGAAATCCTAATGAGGTTATTATTGAATCTTTTAAAGTTTAAAGTATTTCAGATACTTTAATCAATCAAGTTAATTCTAATAAAGAAAACGACTATGAAGATTTAAAAATTATTAACTTAACAAATTAACATTGTAATTAGATAGTTCTTAGATTAGAATTAAAATTTAAATCAAAATAAGATGTAGAGCAATTTCAGATTATGTAAATTTTACTTTATTTTATTCTGTTAATTGCAATATTCTTAATTCTAACATAAGTAAAGTACTGTTATCCTATATCTACTTTTTTTAAGATAATAGATAACTAGAGTAACCTTAGACAGTAAACACTTTTTGTAAACTCACTTGTTACTATATTATAACTAAGTCAGAAGGTATTTTATTTTAGAAAACTTAACAAAGAAGATTTAAGACAATTTGTAATCACAAAAGAGGCTACAATTAAAAGTATATGAGGATACTAATAATTGTTTAGTTTG